CCCCAAAACCCCAAAACCCCAAAACCCCAAAACCCCAAATCGATAGCTTAAAATTGAATTAAAAGCCACAATAAACTAAATATGAAGAAAATAGCTATTAAGTTCAAACTGAATCAATATAAACACAAATTTTGGACTAACTTAATAACAAACAAGTATTTCAACTCCTCCAAGTTGATTTGCTTCAAAGAATTCTTCAGCTTCATTTCTCTCTATTTCACAAAAGTTGATGTTTACTGTCTCTAGACTTGCTCTTAAATCAGTAGAACTTGCCAACCCTTGAATCAAATTTTTAAACTCGTTAAAGTTATTCTTCCAATCGCTTAACGATAAGCTCCCTGATCCTATTAAGCTTAGTTGTTTGAGTTTACAATTGTAAAGAGCTTTTGAGAAATCTGGAGCATTAGGAATAGACAACTTGCAACTCCACAATTTTAATGTATCCACATGTCTGTATGCTGAGACCAATCTCTTGAGTTGGAAGGCACTAAGTCACAAATTCTCAAACCCTACACTTTGGGTAACTTTATAGCTTATTTTTATCAATGAGTTAAAATAATTGGATCTGTTCAGATTTATACCTGCTCAGAAGATAACCCACAGATCATTAACTTTACTCGGAAATGCGAAATCGAAGAAATCCTGAATACGCTTATTCTTCTTCTTGATATATAATAAATTGATCTCGTTGATAGAGAAGAACTTTACACATTTTAATTTTCATGCAAATTTGAGATCCTCGTGCTTTTGGAAATAAAAGTCTTTATTATCAAAATTTCCTTCACTATCCGAATCCAATGGCTTTGCTTCTATTTCATCAGAGAAGATATTAAAGTGAGCACTGCATCATCGCTGATAGTCTTGCTCTTTACTTTTTGCAAGTATAGATTTCTCAACACTGTAGCTCAATTAGAGAGGTGATGAGACATTTTAACTCATGGCAAAATCAAAAAAGTTAAAGGCAACCAATGAATTTTAATTCATCGGTTTAGAGTTAGCTTAATCACTGAGCTGTAATTTAGTCGAAGGATCTGTTGTAATAGAAAGTACAAGCTCATCATAACTGAGCTTACAGATTTCTCAATTTAAGCATTAATTCAAAAATCAAGAAACTTTAATGGGGCTTAGCTTAGAAAGTGGCATAATTTAAGGAAAATATTAGACATTTTCTAACAGATGAGAAGATTTGAGTGTTAATTTTATACTATTTAATCTTTCTGGATATAAGCAAGGCTATTATATGCTATATTTGATCGAACACAATGTAAAGATTAGTAATATCAGACTTTAAATGCATAAGGTGCATCTAAAGTATCTCTTGACAACTAATTTGTGGATTTGTATTTATCAACATCTTTGACAAAGCTCTAACCTACCTCATAACCTTGCTGTTGTTTTCTTTAGTACTTTGAGCGATATTTTCCATTTTGTTATAAGCACTATTATATTTTTCAATATTTATTGAAATTTGCGGGGTTTTGGGGTTTTGGGGTTTTGGGGTTTTGGGG